GCCCCCCCTCCTCTCTGCTCTCCATTCCTCCTGGGGTCCTACTGGCTTCTCTACCTGCTGTGTCCCGTCTGTTCTCTCTGCTCCTGCTTCTGCTCCCTCTGTCCTCTCTGCCTCCAGGGCCCCTCTGTTCTCACTGCTCCTCATTTTCCTGGGTCCCATCTTTGCCTCTGCTGCCTCCCCCCTTTTCTTAGGCTGTTGCTGTCCTCTCGGCCTCCTATGCCCCCGCTGCTTCTCTCCTCTTCCCCCTCCCCCCAATCTTACCCATTCTCTGCTTCCTCCAGGGCTTGGCCCATAGTAGGCACTTCACATTTATTTAGTGGCTGACTGAATCTGTCCTCTATTCTTCCTTTCCCTCCTGCCTGTATCCTCTTCCTCCTTTGCTTCCTTTTCTTCCCTCTGTCTCCGATTCTCATTATTCTCCCGTCTCCTTTTTCCATCTTCCTCTCCTTTCTCCTCTCACTCCATTTCTTTCCTAATCCTTCTGTTTCCCTTTTTATTTCTTATCTTCATTCACCAGTTCCTATTCTTTTATCCTCCTGTTCCTCCTTTTTCTTTTAGTCCTTTTCCTTCTCTTATTCATAGCAGTATTCCTATCCCCAATAGTCTTCCTTTTAATGTACTTCCTTTTGTCCTGATTCCTTCTCTCTTCTGATTTCTTCTATTCTTGACCTCTAAAATTATCTTCTCTCCTCTTCTTCCTCTCTCTTTTCCTTCTTATTCTTTTTAATCCTTTACTTCTTTTTGCCTCATTCTCTTCTGTCTGTTCCACCCTCTCAGATTCCTATACCTTTTTGTTCTCCTGTAGTCTCAAACCTGGTTGTCTGTTTCCCCACCTGCCAAAATGTAGAGCCCTCTAGCTAGATCCGTTTCTCATTTCCCACTTCACCCTCTGTTCCTTCTCTTTCCTTTTTTTTCCCTCTTTTGTTCTTCGTCTCTTTATTTTTCCTACTATTGTGTCCTGGCAACTACCTTCCAGGGTACACTTCTGTGCCCATGTTCTACCTTTTTAAACCCTTATCTTCAAACTGCTCCTTTTCCCTCCATCTTGTGTCCCTGGACTTGTTGCTGAAGAAAAGTGTAAAATTTTCCAAGGGCTTCCTTTTTCCACTTCTGTGTAGATATTTTCTGTAGTTTTAATTAAAATTTCAAAGGTTAAGTGTTGCGTGCTTGCTCTACCTCACTCTCAGGGCGCTATGGTCTAGGATTGATAAAGTGAATTGAGCACTGGATTTGGAGATAGCAGTTACTTATTAGCACTGTGACAACCACTCTGAGCCTCAGTTTCCTCATCTGTAAATAATTATACTTGCCCATCACTGGGTCATGTGGACAGTGTTTTGTAAAGTACAAAGCAGTATAAAACTGTGAGCTATTATTATTGTTAGTGCCATAAAACTCAAAAATATTTTTATAGATACCATTTGGAAAGAAGATTTCTTAAAACTAATAAAGATAAGATGGATGATGGAACAGACTAGGTGTTAGGAGGTCTAGGTTTAGTTTGAATTTAGCCACTGAGTGGAAGTGTGACCTTGGACAAGTTTCTTAGTCCTTGGGGCTTTCGTTTTCTTCATTTGTAAACTGAAAAGTGGGAGATGATCTAGGAGCTCTTAAATTTTTGATTCTGTGGTTTAACTTGTTATTCTATCTCTTTGCTAGACCAGAAAATTAAGCAGTTATAGTCTTTTGAGGTATGTGTTGTTTTCTCCATGGGTTTCAAAAAGGTTAAGTGAGTTGTCTAAAGTGGTACAGGTAATAAGTAGTAAAGCTGAACAATTCATAGTCCTTGGGCTCTTGCCACTGCACCTCATCTGCCTTCATGCCCTTTATAGCTCTTTAGTTAGCTTGGACTTAATCTTACTCTTTAATATAAATCACAGCTAGAGTTTCTTGCTCGTTAAACATTGTTCTGAAGTTTCAGTTACTTGTTAATTTTCATTTGTGCTATAATACACACACACACACACACACACATTTTCTTTTTGTGGGGCTGGTATTCTTGAGTTTTAGCTATACTTCTTGGGCCAAGGAAATGGTTTGCAAGTTATAATGATGAAAATGATTTTGAGTAAGTGTATAGGACTTTAGACTCACTATGTGAAACATACAGCATATTTCTTAAAAGTTCAGAATTGTTATTTCTCATCAGGCTCATAGATGTAGAATTAAAAGAGAAGAAATTGGGGTGTCAGAATGTGAAGTGATTCACCTAAAGTCCCACAAGTAATAAGTGTCTGAGGTCACAGCGGAATCTAGGACCTTTAGAGTCCAGAGCCAGGGCTCTTTTCACTGCACCGGGCTGTTTTGTAGACAGAGAGAAAAAGAAACCTCGGGCCAGTCAATCAGCAAGCATCTACTAAATGCTTGCTTAGTGCAAGATAGGTGCCAAGCACTGTGATAAACCCTGGGAATACAAGAAAAGGCAAACAGCCCCTGCCCTCAAAGAACTTACATTCTAACGGAAGAGAGAGAATATAAATAACTAGGGACATGGAAGTTATACCCAATGGATAGGGGATAGATAATCTTCAAGGAGGAAAGTAGTTGCAGTGGGGAGGGTAGGAGATGGGGAAGATGGGGAAAAGCCTCTTGTAGAAGGTGTTATTTGATCTGATACTTGAAGGGACAGGGAAATCAGGAGGCAGAGGTGAGGAGAGGGAATTGCACACATGGGCAAAGGCTAGACAGCGGGCTTCCATTCTAATGCTCTTGTACCACCCTACTGGCTGTCCCTTGCTTTCTCCCAAGGTAACAGGAAATGCCTGATGCCCTGTCTGATAAGTGGTATAATTAGGAACAGAACCCATATTTTATCTGTGGGTAAATTTCAACCAGTAGGTTACCCTGACTCAGGCTATGCTCATGAATAGTTTTGAACCCTGGACACATTATATAGGATTATAGCATTAAATGGACATGGATTTATTTAAAATATCCATTTAAAGAATCATTATTAGGTTTCTGTTTTAAAATCATAATTTTTAGATTATAATTTTACAATTCTGTCATCTTTTGTGTAATCTTTTGACATTTAGACTATTTGAATGGATAGAATTTTGAAGCTTTTATAGGAAATAGGGACTAGGGCATATTTAAAAAATAGCACATAATAAAAAACTACTGATATTATATAAACCTTTAAAAGTTGAAAAGCACTTTACATGCATCATTTTGTATGTACTGATGTGTAACATGTTGACATCCTCTGTAAAATCATAAGATTCTTGATGGCAGGAACTTTCCTTTTTGACTCTGCTTCTCCAGCTGTGTCTGATCACTGTAGGTGACAGCTAGTAGGTGATTAATATGTGTTTGATCATGTCATTTTATGCTTGCAACAGAGCTATGAAGTAGGAATTATGGGTATTATGTTCATTTTATCATACAGCTAATAAGTGGCAGAACCAGGATTCACACCCAGGCCTCTAACAACAAATCCATCACTTTTTCTTTTGTGTCACTCTCCCTTCCAGTGACAAATCAGAGTAAAACTGTGCCCATGGTGCCTGTTGCTGAGATTTGTTTAATTTACCACAAAGTAGTTGAAACATTTTGAAGATGTGATTTAAAATTGACTTTGCTAATACTCTGAAAAATTATTTGTCTGCAAAATTTTTCATCCTCCTCACATTCCTAATGCCCCAGTAAAGATGTACCTCTTAGTGCACTACTACTGTGAAATGATAGAATGTGATAGAGTTGGAAAGTAGCATGCAAAACTACAACATTGTTCCAATGCTGTGAGTAGTAATACTTACTTTTACTTCTTACTAGTCATATGACTTTGGACAAGTCACTTGCCTTCTCTGAACCTCAGCTTCTTCATCTATAAAATGGGGGTAATGATACTTTCATTACCTGTTTTACAGAATATTCATGAGTTTCATAAACTATAAAGTGTTATTTAAATGTGAACTATTTTCATTATTATTGTTTATCTTTGATTGATTTCTTTAAACTCTGACTTAAACTCTGCCGGGTAATGATAGTCATGATAACAGACATTCACATTTAGCTTTAGGTTTTACAAAGCTTTTTGCATTATCTCATTGGTTTCTTACGACATTCCTGTCAGACAGTATTATGGATTCTATTGTCCCTGTGTTCGCAGATGAAGATTCTGAAGCTGAAAAAGTTAAGTGACTCAGCAAAGTCACACAGCTAGTGAGTGCCTGAGAGGGGTTCAAACACATATCGTGCGGACCTTAGTTCAGAACTTGATCCACTACACCAGCCTGCCTCGGGTAAGATTCACAAAACTCATTGCAATCACCCAATATTCAAAATGTCGTGGATTGAGACGAAGAAGAAGAAACTTATTTAGCTTTGGTAGTATGTTATGGAGCTTTCTTTTAGAGTTCATGTAGGAGGTGGGTCGATGTAAACTTTCTTCCCCCAAACACAAATCTTTGTAATAGACCATTTTAGTTTCTGATTGGGTATAACAGGTAGTGAACCAAAGTTATCTTTTAATAATGCATTGGTAGGCTGGCTCTGAAAGTGAGGGAAATTACCTTTTTTAAAAAATTATGTTCAGGGTGCTAATAAATATAATTTTTGGACTGTTTATAACCTTTTCTAGCAGTTAGTGAATAGATGTATTACAGGAGAAATTGAATCATATCAACCTTGACAGTCTTACTATAAATGAAACTAGATAAAAAAGTTAAAGGTAAATGGACAACAGGTTCTCCTTGGTCAGATAAGCAAAGGAATTGGCAGAGTTGTTTTCATTTTGAGTCTTCAGGCAACAAGAAATATCATTTTAGGGGGCACTGGATCATTTTATGTTACAGTATTCCTGATATTATGAATTTGCAGAAAGACCACCATAGATCAACTAGTTCATTAAAAAGCAATTGTCAAGACACTGCTATGTGCTAAATGCTGTCCTAGGCACTGATGATATCAATATGACAGTAGAGAGCCTCTGCCATCAAGGAACTTACATTCTACTGGGGACTCACGTATGTGCACATGGGCACACGCACACGTATATACACACAGAATGTTCACAGAGAAGTAAATATAAGATATATATGAAATGAATCCATTGTAATTTGGAGGTTGGTTTGTGGGGACTTGGGGATCTTGAGGGGGTCAGGAAATGCCTCTAAAGTAGATGACACTTGGAGTTGAGCTTTTAATGCAAAATAATTGGAGCTTGTCAACATGTATTGAAGAGGCTGAGCAAATTATGTCAATGCAAAGTTTGGCTTAGGAGAAGACAGTGAAAATTATGATTCACGTATTAGAAATGAGAGCATCAAAGGCTTTTAGACAATAGAGCACCCTCATGCCTCTATGACCTGACTTTCTTGGAGAAGAGAATTGTGGAATTGGCAAATGCCAACAAAACAATGAAATTAACTTTATCTTAACAGGCAGGAAATAATATGATTATTGATGTCGAGGTCATTTTTCCAGATCAGTTTCACATGAACAGTCAAATCATTGACTTGGTAAGGAAAAGATCAAAATCAGTATCAAATTAGAAGAAGAAAAAAAAGAAAAGATATAGCTTACAATTGAGCTAACTCAATTAAATTCAACAAAAATTAAAGGCTAAGAATACAAAGACAAAACTTTCTTGCCCTCAGAGCTTACATTGTACTGTGAGTATATAGCTTATACACAGATAAGTAAATAGAAAATATATACAGATTTCCTCATCCATTAAATAGCAGTTTAGACTTGATAACCTCTAAGGCCCTTCCTGATCTCAATCTATGATCCTATGATGCTATAATTTCAAGAGTAGAAGAGTATTTTTATGTGAGGGGATCAAGAATGGCCTTGTGTTTGAAGTAGCACCTGAACTCATTTTAAAGGAAGCTAGAAATGCAATGAGGCAGAAGTAAAGTAAAAAACAAGAACAACAACGAAAAACCACTTGCATGAGAAGAACTTCAGTTCTACTGGGGGATACAATGTGTGACAAAGCAAGTAAGAACAAAATGATTTGAAGAGGAAAAGACTAGTAGTAACTTGTAAGATCATGAGAAGGCTTCATGGAGGTGGTGGTAGCAGAGGTGAGTCTTAAAGAAGACAACAATGGTTCATAAAGGCAGACATAAGAAGGGATGTGCTCTAGGCATGGGGAGTAGCTTATGCATGGGCATGGAGGGGAGAGATTAGAATGCCAACTGTAGTGCGTCACAAGTAGGCTAGCCTGGCTAGAGTGAAGAGCTTGTGAAAGGTGGTTTGAGGCTGTATTGTGAATGCTAGACTGAGGAGTTCATATTTATTCTGGAGGCAGTGGAGCCTCACTAAAGATTTTTGAGTCTTGTGTATGCCTTGGGAATATTATTTTGGCAGTTATGTGGAGGATGGATTGGAAAAGGGGGATAGATATTAGAAGCAGGGAGACCAATTACAGGGAACCATGCCTATGATTTCATTGTTTTTTGAGAACTCCTTCAAGAGAAAATTTGCTCTACCAGAGGCTCCTTCTCTGCAATTTATAGTCTTACTTGCCTAAAAGCACTGAGAGATTAAGTGACATGCTTAGGGTCACACAGCCCTCTGTTAGAGGCAGGGCTTAAATTAACTAGATATGACTTCAAGGCCAGCTTTTTGGCCACTTTATTGCAGCTGTGTCCCAATCAGGAGGTTTTTCTAATAGTCCAGAGGAAGCTGAAGGCTTCAACTAGGGCAATGGCTGTAAGGAGAAAGAAGTAAAATCGAGAGGTGTTGTGGTAGTAGAGTTGAGATGATGTGGAGATTATTTGGATGTGAGAGAAGAGGGACAGGGAAGAGTTCAGGATTATTCCCAGGTCACCATCCTAGCCTGTTGGCTTGGTGGTAATGCCTTTTAGAGAAGGAGGGTCAGGGAAGACAATGACTTCCACTTTGCCTCTAGTGAGTTTGATGTTTAGTTGTCTAGCAGTCACTCAGTAATATGGGACTGGAGTTGGAGAGATTAGGGCTAGATATACAGATGTGGGATTCATCTGTAGAGGAATGATAATGAATTCCGTGGGAGCTGATAAGCTTGCTAAAAAAGTGTCAGGAGAGAAGAGAGCCCAAGACAAAGTTTCGGGGACACTTACAGTTAGGGCACAAGAAATAGATGGTGATCCTGCAAAGGAGCCTTAGAAGAATTGGCCATAGAAATAGGGAAAGAATTCAGAGAAAGTAATGTCATGAAAACTCTGGTGGGAGAATATAATTTTCAGAAAGGAGTATTCAGTCATACAGTGTGGAAAGCTGCGCAGAGATCAAGAAGGAAGAAGACTGAGGAAAGACTTAGTATTTGAAAGATTAGTTAACCTATGATAGAGCAGTTTAACATTTTTTTTTGTTTTGTTTTTGTTTTCAGGCAATTAGGGCTAAGTGACTTGCCCAGGGTCGCAAGGCTAGTAAGTGTCAAGTGTTTGGTCTGAGGCCGGATATGAACTCGGGTCTTCCTGATTTCAGGGCCGGAGGTCTATCCACTGCGCCACCTAGCTGCCCCTAGAGCAATTTAACTTAAGAAGACTTTCAGAAGCCAGATTTCGAAGAGGAGAGATGAGCGTGAGAAGTGTCGTAGTGAAGACAATGAACGTAGTTTTTTCTTTTTTACCCCTACAAGTATGACTGTGAAAAGGAGAATTTTAGGGTAAGGAATAGGAGAAGGGAGATAACTGAAGGAGGACATGGTCGTATATGTATTTATTACAGTTGTATAATTGGGCAGAAGATGGAGGAAAGCTCATTAGTATATAATTTCCTAAACATTGGCAATCAAGAATTTCAGGAGAGATAAAGAGACTTTCTTGGTAAAACTACAGAATTGAGTCATCTGTTCTTGTTAGTCTTGAGGTTAAAATCTCTACACCTGGCATTTTCATAGAACTTTTAACTACTACTTCATTCTTGTGAGACATGATTTTTTTTTTATTAAAACATTAATAGGCTTTCATGGAGAACTGTTATTGGAGATGGATCCATTTGGTCAGATGTAGTATTAAAGAATGAAGAAAGAAAAAATTCCTAATTAGTGCTACAAAAATTACAAGTAATTTCCACCTCAGCAAATTTGCTATTGGTAAGTTTTTACAAGTCAGATATTTATATTTTTCAGTTGATTATTTTTTTACTCTTTCTTGATCAGAGTCATCTTTGATTAGTGTTTGTTAAGATAAAGACTGAAAAAACAAGTGAGTGGGAGGACATGTAAACTGATTCAATGGAAATAAGCAGGAAACTGGGAAAACAATATAGGGTATCCTAAAAGTCTTAGTGTAGTTGTGAGCTTTAATAACTTAAGAAATATAAATGTTACAAACTTACAAAAGCATCATTTGAAAACTTAATTATCTTAATTTATTTAGTTTTTTGAAATTTTGAATAGTATACTTTAAATTTAAATTTTAACAAGACCACGTTCCCTGTTATTATTGCATTGTGTGTGAGACAGTTTCTAGATGACACTTTCTTAGACAGGTAGAGGAATTCCTCCTGTTTGGCTTTCTAAGTGACATGATTTGTCTCCTTTAGACTTTTTCTCATTGGGTCATGTCACATTTGTAGTGTATATATCAAAACCTCTTCTTATGAATGTTATTAAGGCTAGGATGCAGCTAGGTGGCACAGTAGATAAAACACTGGGCTTGGAACCAGAAAGATTAATCTTCATGAGTTTAAATACAACCTCAGACACTAGCTGTGTTGCCCTGGGCAAGTCATTTAAACCGGTTTGTCTCTGCTTCCTCATCTTTAATGAGCTGAAGAAGGAAATGGCAAACCACCACAGTATCTTTGCCAATTGTTGAATTTTAATAAGAAATATCAATATTTTAAATAATTAACATTTGTAGTATTTTTTTGAGAAATTTGTAGCATTTGTACTTCTAGGATTATTAAAGCTTAAAACTGCACTAAGAATTTTGAGATACCCTATAGTTTCCCCAGTTCCCTGCTTACTTTTCATTGTATCAGTTTATGTCTTTCCATTCATCCACTTGTTCTCTTTTTATCTTAAGTTACCATTTTGACTTTCTTATCGAACACATCAAAAATGAAGTGTTATGGTCCAAATGTGGTGGTTTCACTGTCATGGATGATAAAAACAAATGCATAGAAATGTTTGACCTTTCTGTTCTGTTTTCGATGGTTATTTGTTGACCTTGTGCTAGTTTTATCTAAGAATTCACTTGGAATGTTGTGAGTTTTGGGAGTCTGTTACCAAACTTTATCAACACTCATTTTTACCTATGTTGCTTTCCATTGTTTTATGAAGTGGTATTTCTTATAATCTTCTGCTGTCCTCCAAAGTGTTTTGAATTTATGTACCAGAATAGTTGCCCTCAGGTGCCATGTCTCTCTGCATGGCATGTATTTGCAGGCTTAATTAATTTCTGAGTTCTTTTGCCCTCCTCATTATAGAGATTGCTTTGCATTCATTTAATTTTTTCAGGAAAGATGATTATCATTGATCAATATCTTTACCTTTTTCCATTTGATTAGGTTATGTTAAAAATGTTGGAATTGTACTTACTGTTTTCTCATAATTATACTTTCTTCTAAATAAATGTCTGTTTTTTGACCTAAAGAGAATCTGTTGTTGTGAAATATGGTTCTCTGAAAAATCAAAAAGGAGAAGATCTAGTCATTAAGAAGAGGTCAAATAATTTATAAATATTTACTCTAATTTAGAAGAGTTGAACTGTAATTTTTTGTGTTGTAGTAATTTACATGTTTATGAAGTGAATCATCCTGTTGATGTACAGTGACCTGATAGCAATCTTAAGAAATGTTGAAATGCCAGTTGCATGTCTACTAGTTAAATAAAAGTTTGAGTTATGAGCTCACCATTTAATTTACAAATTAGTATGTTGGAATCATAAGAGCTAATGAAAGTATTTTACGAATGCTACTTCTGCTTCACTTGCTTAAGATGAGCTTATAGCATTGTATTAAGTTCTAGTTGCTGCCTAGGGATGTGTAATAGTTTCTGTATAGGCACTGGCTGTACCTAATAGATGTTAGCTGAGTGGAGAGACCTTCCAAATTTGCCTGTTATATGTTTGCTATTTAATCTAATTTAGAGCTGGTGGAGGACGACTGTTTCTTCTCATACACCCAAATTGGAAGGATTATGCTGGGCTACCTTCAGCTAACCAGGTAATTATTCTATGTGCCATTTTTTTCCTTTCTTTTCTTTCTTAGCAGGTTTTGGTCAGAAATAAGTATTAAAACTTTTCTTATTTCCATGCTATGTGATGCAAATAAAAACCGATATAGGTATGCTATTTACTATTTTGTGGGGCTTCTCACCTTAGTGATAAGAAACATTTGCTCTTCTGTGGAAATTCAGTTCAATCCATTTGAACAAAGAGAAGAGAATCAGAATGGATTAATTCCATTGAGAAGACTAAGTTCTTTATTATATTTTGCTGATTTGAATGTATTCATGTTTCTGATGATAGTGAATTTAAGAATAGGAAATTAAATTAATGTCCTGTTTAGTTGTTAGGAATACTCTTAGATGTTTAAAGGTAGAGAGAAGTCAAACACCAAAAAAAAAAAAAAGTACGTGAAAGTAATTGAAACTGCTGAAAGAACTTTCTGCAGCCTGATTTTTAACATAAAATGATTAAGAATATTAAAATGTTAATATGCTTAAAAATTGTTCTTACAACTCTTTGGGATTGATGTTATCTATAGCTTCTCTAGATTTAATGATGATGCAGAGCCATTTGTAGCATGCCTCATCCTTCAGAGCTGCCCTGATTTTAATCAGATCAGCATATATTTTAGCCTTTCTGATATAAGGATAGTGAAATTCTTTCTTGTTATTTGAAGGACTGGGTACTATTGTTATTTTTAGAATGAATATAAATGTGATGCTCCTCTTTGTCTTCAGTATTCTACTAAGAGTTTTTGAAATTTGATCAGTTGGGAAGACCTTCATTCTAATCATTTGTGTTTTTGGCTTCGTCATTATTTATATGTTTATAGGGGAGATCATTTTTATAAGAAAAACCTTTGCTGTAACCCTTCATCTAGAATAGTTGCTAGCTTTGAAATTCCTTGACACAGGCCTGCAATCATATATTATACAGCTTTTCATTTGATAATGTATTTGAGTATGTCAGCAAGAAATGTAATAGAAATTGTGGAATTCCCCCCAATCCCCTCTTCATTAATATTATATTCCCGGTAAAACTCTTGAGCTTATTAATTTACATGCCAAGAATTTAATCTTATAAGTTATATCTATGCAGTGTTTTTAAATACTTAATTTGGTACCATGCTTCTAGTAGAAGCATCTAATTGCCAGGTCAACCAAATGGTACTTGGTGGCATAGTAATAAAGCTAAATGAAAAAATTACCCAGAAATATTTAATAGGAACATTCTAGTATTGATTTTTTTTAACCTAATTCCTTTTCTTTGGCATTTTGAGAGAGTTACTTTTCAGTAATAGATTATTTGTGGTCTTTACTTCCATGAATCTAAATGTATCTGGTTGTAATTTCTCTTAATTTGAAAGGTAAAGTTTTAATCCCCTCCCTTAAAATATTTTAATGATTTAAAATTTAAGGTAAATAATTTTATACTTATAATATGAATCAGCCTGGTGTAAAAGGTAGAGAATTGACCTCAGAGTTAGGGAGATGTGGGTTGTACTGACTGAGTGACCTTGGGCAAATAATTTCTTTCCATGCCTCAGACTAGCACTATAAATGCAGAACAGTTGCTGATCTGCATTGATAGTGGGAGATTCTTCATTCCCTATGCCAGTGAAATCATAACCCTTGTTCCTACTCACCCCAACTCCTTGAAGAAATGCTTATCAAATAAAAAGTGGTTTCATGTCTCCTTCCTCCTACTTAGTGGCAAAGTTTGGATATATTGACTCTATTTGTATTTCATTTTCAAAGGAAATATTAAATAATAAATACAGAAAGCTCTTGATGAATTATTTCCAGTGGAGCAGAAATACTATTCTACTTTTTCGCATGTAATATTTTCTTTTTTCTCCTTTAGGATCACCATCCCTTGTTGACTAGTAGTCATAAAATTATACAATGGGTCTACGGATTCACTTTGTTGTTGACCCACATGGTTGGTGCTGCATGGGTTTGATTGTCTTTGTCTGGTTATACAATATTGTCATAATTCCCAAAATTGTCCTCTTTCCTCACTATGAAGAAGGACATATCCCAGGCATATTAATAATATGTAAGTCTACATGTCTTTGGTTTTTTTTTAAAATATAACAACCTTTTTTTTCCATGTAAATGTTTTTGGATAATAATGCCTTTGTGATTGCCCTACTGATAGTATCAGAATAGTTTAGTAAAGAACATTGAGAAAACATTCAGAACAAGAACTCCTAAGATTTGTGGCATGGTGTAGTAGATAGTGGCCTGGACTCAAAGTCAGGAAAAACTGACTTCAAATGCCACTTCAGCCACTTACTGGCTGAGTGATACTGGGCAAGTCATTTAATCTCTGCAGGCCTCATTTTCCCCATTTGTAAAACAAGGGGGAGTAGACTTAGGGACTCTTTAGTTCCCTACCATCTCTCAATCTATGATCCTATGAAAATATCTTAGTAAATTTTTTTTAATCTTGCTTTAAATTAAGTTATCCACATGAGGGAGGAGTTTTAGGAATGGGGTGGGGAAACGTCACTAGGAAAAAGAACTGATCTACCATTCCCCATGAAAATATTAGGCATAAGTTTATTTATTTAAGTAGGCCTTACTTTCTTCCTCTTTAAAAATGAGAGGATTGAATTAGATCTCTAAGGTCCCTGTCAGTTCTAACACTCGATCACTATGATAATACCGAGACCAGATTGAACTTTGGAATAGCTTGTGCAAGTTTAGGAGTCCACTATAGAAGTTTTGTTCATGGCAAAGGAGTAAACAGAATTCTGTCTTTGAATTATGGACTATTTTAAAAGAAATGCTGTTTTTATTGTTTTGTAATCGTATACATAGTAATAATGATAAATAACACATTTATATAGTACCCAGATTGGTTAAATGTTGAAGCAAAGATTCAGGATAAGTCTTTTCCCTTTGATACCACTTTGCTAATATATAAAATAGATATAAAATTTTGTAGACTGAACTTAGGTGAAATTAGGAGTATATTTGTTCATGAGGTTTTTTGCAATGGCTTCTATCTCTTGGAGAAGCAGTGCCATGTGAGTGAAGCCTAGATAGATAGAGAATTCCTACAAATTCTTCCAATCAGTAAATCATCCTACAGTCTGCCACTGTTCATTGGAGCTTTGTGGTTTGTGTTCTTTGTTTGTTATATATTTGGATTCTGGGATTGCCATTTTCCTATTTTCCTTTAACTTTTTTTTTGTTTTGGAGGTAGGTTGATGACAGAGTAAACAGATCACTAGACTTGGAGTTAGGAAGACCTGAGTTTGAGTCCTGCCATATACAGTTACTCGTAATGTGACCCTGGGGAAGTTAAACTTGCTGGACCTCAGCTCCATCATGTAAAAAATGAGGGAGCGGGACTCATTTGGCCTCTAAAGTCCCTTCCAGCTCAAAATCAATGAGCTTTCTTTCTTTTTTGCTTTATTGCATCATGTTGTGTTCTATTGTCTTGTAGTTTCAAAAGAAACTCTTTAGTCCTATGTGACTGGCTTACTGATTCACCTACTTATATTATTATTTGTGGATATGGGAAATGTATACAAACTTGCCTGATTTTGAATTTTAATTCTGCTTGGATAAAGAATAGATTTTCAGAAGCTCCAAAGAATAATTGACAACAGAAAGATCAATCTACCCCATGAAAAATGGAGTAATACTAATTCTGACTATATCTACAGCACACTTCTATCACCAGAGAAAAGCTGATGAAAATATTTCTAATCTTTTAAATTTTTTATGAGCTAAAATAATCTAGTCGGCACTGATATTGTTGGGAAGATTTTCTCATACGTCTGTTTGTCAATTGCTACTGTTTTAATAATGCTTTCTGTTGAGATATTTGATTATTTGGTTTTGTGAAACTTTATTTTATTCTTATGTGATAATAGATTTTCTGAAACTGTAGTTTTGCATTTCATTATCAGTTATAGCTTTCTAGGTATGTCTTAATTGGAGAATCTATAGATTCTGAACTTTTCTACTTTTATGTAGAATTATGTAGAATATTGTCATTTGAGGGGCTTGTAGAGATCATTTAGTACAGCCCCCTTCATTTTACATGGCAGGAAACTCAGGCCAAGGGAAATGAAGATACTTGCTCAGTTCACTCACCTCATAAAATTTATATGTGATGACAAGGTACTGGGCTCTGTGTCAGATGAGCAGGATAGACTTTTGTCCATATCCATAGTATATATTTGTTTTAAGTTTGTGTTATAATGTATTTTTACTATGAGTATTAGTATTCAAATTCTTGTTTCTCCCCCCAAACACTTGTTAATAAGATTATAAATCTCAATGAACTGCATCTCGGTTGTGGATTTGATTCGTAGCATGTAGGTAAGTAGTTGGCAAGGAAGATCTGAGGAGGGAGAACCTAACCTGGGATTGGAAGATCAGAAAAGGGTTCATGGAGAAGGCAGTCGTGGAAGACAGTTCTTGTAGGATGGGTGGGGAATTTACACGCATATTGGAAGGAAGAAAGTATTCCAAGCTGGTGGAAGTGTGTGAGTAAAGTCATAGTAAGTAGGTCAGTTTGTGTGGAGCAAATAGGTCATATTGATGTCAGATTGCAGAAGACCTCTGAAATCAGAGTGAAGAGTTTGGGTGTTACACACTAGATTATGGGAAACCATTGAAAAACTTTGAGCAAGTACTTGAAGTAATCAGAGTCATATATACTGGATTGGACTAAGGGAAGATCCTATAGATAGGAATATTCACAGTAGGCTATACGGTTGTAGTTAGGTGTGAGATGATAAGAAATCTATTTAAAACTGGAGAACTTAGATTAACTCTGTAATACATAGTCAGTATGAATTAGTCACCCAATAAAACTTATTTTATTGATTTGTCTTCTTGGAAATAATTATTTTGTTTATTTTTATAATGTATACTAAAGTACATATTTTACGATGTAAATGTAAAAGAAGTATCTTTAAGGGTAAGTGGTTGTCTCTCTTTTTTTCAGTCTTCTATGGTATTGCCATGTTTTGTTTGGTGGCCTTAGTGAGAGCCTCAATAACTGATCCAGGAAGACTCCCTGAAAATCCAAAGATTCCACATGGAGGTATTCTATTCTTCAGAAATATTGTACTTAATTCCTAGCTCATTAGTTTTTTATGATGTCCTTAGTTTTATTTAACATGTTGTATTGACACCTTTTATGCCTTTATGGCATAGTCATTTCAACCCTCCCTCTCTCCTCCCCCAGGCTTATATCTTCCTCTGACAAAGAAAAGTAGTTAAGCAAAAACTTTGATCTGAGACAGTAACTACATCTGACACTGTTTACAGTATTATATAATATTTTTACCTGGTAGTCCTCTTATCTTTTTAGCCATGGGGGGAAGGTACATTTCATTATTTCTTATCTACAGCCATCATTGGTTTTCTAGTTACTCAGTTATTCCCCTAACCTTTTTGTCATCTTTTCATTTATTTTGTTGTCAGTGTTGATGCTATCCTTGGTTTGGTTTATCTAACTCTGCATCAGTGCACAATATCTTGCTTTTTTTTTTCTCTGAATTACTCATATTTATAATGTTTTGCTCCATATTTATATATGCTATAATTTTTTCAGCTATCCTCCAGTAAATGGACACCAACTTTATTTCTGGTTCTTTGCTACCACAGGAATATTTTGGTGTATATCAGACCTTTGTTTCTGTCTTTCCTTCCTTGTAATCTTTTCCCGGTTGTAGAATTGGTGAGACAAAGGGTATGAGTAGTTTGATGACATTTTGTATGTACTTTCAAATTTACGTTCAGAATGGTTTAGATAACTTTATAACTCCCCCAATGTGTCTGTCTTCCCATCTTGCAATATTGCCTGTTGCCATCTTTGCCAGTTTGTGTGATATGAGATGAATCTTCTAAATTGTTTTAGTTTATATTTCTCTTACTAGTAGTGATATGGAGTTTCTTGTCATGTGGTCATTTATAGTTGCAATCCGTTATAAAACTACTCATTTACTTTGATCACTTGTCTACTAGAATGACTCTTGGTGTTACACTTTTTGTCAGCTCCCTGTATATCATGTATATCAGTAATATTTGCTGAAAATATTTTCCCCCACTTGACCATTTCTTTTCTAATTTTATCTTCATTGCTTTTTTGTGTGCAAAAGCTTTAAAATTTTGTAGCCAGAATTATCTATTTTATCTTTTATGATTTCCTCTGTCACTTGTTTCTTTAAGAATTCATCCCTCAGCTGTAGTTGTTAAAGAAACCTAATCTCATTCTCTTCTAATTTGCTTTATGGTATGACCTTTTGTATTAGGGTTATATTTCCATTTGGGATTTATTGTGGTCTGTGGTGTAAGATGTTGGTCTAACTAATTTCTAACAAACTGATGTCCAGTTTTCCCAGTGGCTTTTGTCAAAGAGAATTCTTCCCCCAGTAATTTATGTTTTTGGGGTTATTAAACAGTGGGCTACCTTTTTCAATTGCTTCTGCTTCTTACCTAGGTTATTAGGTTTTTTAATCAATTAATCAATGAACAGGTATTAAGCAACTGTCATGTACCAAGTACATTATTGGGCACTAGGAATACAAAAACAAAAATGGAACAGCCCTTGCTCTCAAGTATTTTACATTCTTGAGGGAGAGATAATATATGCATAAGCATGTACAACATAAATCCACAAATGCAAGATATTTAAAGATGGAGGAAGAAGGCACTAGCATCTTGGGATCAGGAAAGGCCTTATATAAAGGTTGATGCTTGAGCTGAGCTTTGATGGAGACTAGGGATTCTTAGAGGTAGATAGGAAAAGGGAGTATATTATAGGCTTGAGGGACAGCCTTTACAAGTCTTTACCAAGAAAAACGACAGTTTTACCTAACTAATCTACTTACTCAATGTCATCCCAGTTACTAAAACAATTACTTTACTGAGTTAGAAAAAAAAATTAACAGAGTTCATTTGGAAAAACAAAAGGTCAGGAACTTCAAAGAAATGAGGGAAAAAAGATTTAAGGAAGAAGATTCAGCAGTATCAGACCTTAAATTATATTAAAAGGTGAGAGCATTGTTGAAGTGTAAAAAGGATAATTTCAATTATTTCAAATTAAAATTTTCTTGTATAAATAATGTCTATGTAGCCAAGAGTAGAAGGAATGCAGAAAACTGGGGGAAAAAACCCTCTCATAGACAGTCTCTCAGGATGTGATTGGGTGGGACTATAGCTGTGGTATAGGAAATGATAAGCTGGTTCATTTAGAAAAATATGGTAAGACTTAGACTTAGGAAGAAAGATGCTATCCACCATTAGAGATACAATTGATAGGAAGAAATAAGCATATTATGGTCTTTACATATATGTGTATGAGTGTATATGTGTATATTGTCTATGTTTAGATATCTATGTACATGTATATGCATTCACGCTTAATTATAGCCTTCTTTGGGTGGTGGGGGACAGGGTGGGGGGTGTGGGGGGGGAGAAAGAAAGCAAAAAGTACACAGCAAGGAACAAGGAAAACCAAGAAGGAGCAAAGAAAAGCTGGGCAGCTTTGAAAATAATGTGTAGCATTTCTTATATAGGTTTTCTTGAAAGGGAAGTTTGTTGTTTTATATTGAATCCTTTGTTATGGTCTGCTGGGTACATGGCAATGTGGTTTTTTTTTTTTCATTTTCTCATTTTGTATTTAAGATAATTTTTTTTTTTTTTTTTTTTTTTCACAAAACAAAGACTACCCTTTCCAGTACTGGTTGCATTCTTACTCATGTCTCCTAACTCACTGGTTGTAGTGGGTGAAGTAGAATATTTCTTGCTCCCCATTGCCACTTTCAGACTTTCCCCTTTGCCACCATCACTCAGTAATCTTTCCTTCTTTGAGCTTTTATCTACAGATCTAACTTTTCAGTTCCTCATTTTACTCGTTTTTCATGATCTACCTTGCCATCACACTATAGTTACACACAGAGATTATCCTGTCTTCCATTTTGCCATCACCCACTCTGAAATTTCTTTACCTGATACTAATCCGTTGTCATTTCATCTCTTCCTCTGCCTTTTAAATCCAAAACCTGCTCTTTGCCTTCATTGTAACCTCTAATCGCTCCACCTCTGTGTTCTTTCCCAGGCCATCACCCTTAGCTCTGGTTGTACTCTCTTCCCTTCTCCATCTTGATACCTTGGTGAACCAGTTTATTTTTATACTGTTCACTTTTCTGAATCCCTTGCTTCTTTATCCTGTCTTGCCTCTTTATCCTGTCTTGCCTTGCCAAACCATATTCTTGGGTGACTCCTACCATCTCTTGTCTTCACTCCTACTCATGTGCTGCAGAAGGAAATCACAAAACTATCCTGACAGGATCCCTTACAAGTTTATGATACATGATCTCAACTGGGTTGACACTGCAGTAAGACAGTTCTTTTACTCCTCCCTCATTGATTCACTGTCCTACTCAGCACAGTGGGTTTTCCAAACCTTTTCATCCCTTCTCAAGCATCCTCTAGCTCCTCCCTATCCTGACACTCTCAACTGACAGTCTTGCCTCATATTTCACTGAAAAAATTCAGGCCATTTGCAGAGAATGCCGCCTTTTTCCTTGTTCTTCATGAACATAGTTGAGGAATTCCTTGTAACTCTTGCTTCTCAGGTAGAGGAGACAGCTGAGCCTTATTTAAATTAGATAATGTATATAAAGTGCTATTTAAATGTTAGCTTTTACTGTAGTGTGAATATAGTTTTCTTATTTATCATATAGATGAACTAGTTAAGATCTTTTGGGTATGATTGCTGATATTTCTGCCATTTTTATGTGGATGTTAAAGGTTTAGTGAAAGATTGAGCCATTTTATTCTAGCCTGTCAGTCAGCTGCCATTTTACTAACAATTAGTGATTGAAAACACTTAACTAGTGGTGGTTGAAAATATTTGAGGTTTATCTTGTTTAAAAGTACTCAGTTTGGATTTTAGGAGTGATCAACTGTCTGGATCTCAGTTTATCCAGGAATTTTTGCTACAGAACTGTTAGCAGAATGCTTTCTACAGAAAAAAAAAATAATATGTGTACATGTCCTTTCTATGGTGCCACAGAGGTCCTTGATAATTTATCCTTGGAAAAGTAGCAAAACTCACAGGACAATAGAAGAGATTCTTGACTTTGTGTTTGCTTTTGTTATCATACATCAACTTGTTGTGTATACATGCAGTTATTTAGAAAACCTTAAAGTGCCTGACTGATAGTTAGACTAGATGCTTATCATGGACCCTTTCAAGTCTCAAATTCTGCTATTTATGATAGACTCAGGAGGACTAATGATGAAACATGCCTCTGTCTACTTTTGGTGTAGAGTGATGAAATATGGTTGCAAAATGAGGTACATATTGTCAAACTTGGCCAGTGTTTGGCCAGGTTGTTTTGTTTTGCTTAACCATACATTCTTGGTTACAATGGAAGATTATGTTGTTGGGAAGAAGGAGGAATCATTGGGAGCTGGTGTTGATGTAAGAAAAATCACCAATAAAGCTTCTTTTTTTGCAAGAAAAAATAAGAAGAAAGCTTATTTAAACATGTAAGATAGGTTAAAATGGAAATGATATTCATGGCTTTCTGATGTCCTGGTTTTTCATTCCAGCTCCTTTTCCTCTGACCCACCCTTTTTTACATAAGGATCTAGGTCTAGGAGCTGGTAGATGGAGTTTTGTCCTGGTAGCTATTTATAAAAAATATATATTTATAAATTAGGGGACCTCAGTGAAAATAATTTTTTACCTTCTACAACAGTAATTTTTTTGAAACAGTTTAATGTCCTTTATAACATTTTGAATAACTAGTAGAAGTGATTACTTTTAATTCAAGCAAAAGGAACGTACCCTCTGTTTAGATATTTATTATCCAGATCACAGAATTAGAAGCTTTTTTAAAAATATATCAATGCCCATTGCATAGTAGATAAAGTGTTGGACTTGGAGTCAGGAAGGCCTCAGTTTAAATTTTGCCTCAGACAGTTAATACCTTTGTGCCCTAGGACAAGTCAGTTCCTCTCTTAGCCTCAGTTTCCTCATCTGTAAAATGGGGATAATAGTATCACATACATGACAAGATTGATGTGAAGATCTAATGAGATAACATATAAAACTTTTTGCGAACCTTAAGTGCTATATAAATGTTACTTATTATTATGATCATTAATAGTAACTGTAGCATTAGTGATAAAGTTTGACATTGAAACATTTTAGAGAATTAGCTAAAGTTTAAGAAAATGATATATTTGTGACTCCAATTTTAGGTTGACATATTGTGAATGAGTTTCAATCTGGTGTTATTCGTTTTAATTCTTTCATATTGAGCTTTTGTATTGTTGCTATGCCATATTATGTGACTTTTTATCAACACGAGCTGATAGGAATTGTGAATTTAAATAGTAGTTAAAATAAACTTTTAAAATTTCATATGAAAGTAGAGAGTTGTCCAGTCCTGGTATTGATAAAATAAGCTGACTCAGATGAATATACATTTCATCCATGTTGTGATTTATTAATAATTTGGAAGCTAAAACAAATTATTTTTAAGGTAATCAATTACTATTAAGTCAATTTCTTCCTGAAATAAAGGCCCATCTTTTTAAAATTAATAGTATTTTATTTTTTCCAATTACATTTAAAGATAATTTTCAGCATTCATTTTTTGGAAAGATTTTGAATTCCAAATTTTTCTCTCTTCCCTCTCTGCTCCCCGAGAGTAAGGCCCATCCTTTTAACAGTGTTCTTTAGGTGATATACTATGGCTGGGAATCATGGAATACTGTAGTCTCCAAAGAATTGAAATTGAGGATCACCCTAATGGAAAAGGGGGAGGGCTCATGGTGGGCACTAGTAAGCTGTAACACTGTACAAATGAGGAGAACTGTTATAAAAGATGTCATCAGAGGAATGTTTAATATAACTAGAAAAAATGATTTGATCCCATGGCTGACTTCCTGATTTCCATCTGGATTGATTCCTCCAAATACTAGTGTCTTCCCCCTCAAAATGACCTGGTTTTTATTTTTTCATGTATTTTATATATGCTTATATAGGTGTATACTGTTTCTTCTGATAGAATTTAAGCTCCTTGAGTGGAGGGACTGTCTTGTTTTTGCTTTTTTATCTTTAACACTTAGCACAGTGCCTTGCACATAGTAGGCATTTAATGAATGCTTGCTGATTAATTGCTAGAGGGATAACTTTTAACTTTATGTTCTATTGGTATCTATACAGTACGAAAAATACACAAAGAAAGCCCCTATCGTATTCCTTGGATCCTTTCAGTCATGTTAGTGGGAAGATATGGATGAAAGAAATCTCACAGCATAGGCAGGCATGGTTTACTATCTTCATTTTTCAAGAGAATACAAACATCATTGAGATCACAGATTTACTGGATTATTGGAGTATCAAATATACTAATGTTGTTAAAGATTGGCTTCTTTTTACTTTTATTCTTTGTGAAGAAACTTGTATTGTTTCTTATTAAGAAAATAGCAGTTTTAAGCATAATTATTATTAATTTCTTGAGGGTTTTGGTGGGTTCATTTTTATTAATGTTGATATCTTTTTAATCTCTTATGGCTAATGCAACTGCGTAAAGTTGGCTTTGTTCTTTGACTCTTATTCTGTCCCTTCAGCTAAAAAAAGAGTCAAAACTAAAAAACAGAGATGTGATGGAAAAAATTTCAAAACACAGTATCATTAGAAAAATGATACTTTTATTTCACATTTTCATAATGATACTTTGCATTTATGTAACCATCTTTTATTTGAGATTGATATATGGAGTGATTTCCTTCATATTTATTAATATTGTTAGGTTTGCATTGTTATTCTTATTGCATCAATGAGGAAACACTGATGAGGTTTTTTTTTTTTAATCAAATGATGAATTAAGACTAGTACAGGTAAAAATTCATTTCTCTTAATATCATAATAAAGAAGTATCCTGACTGGATGGATGAATGGAAGAGTATTTATTACATGTTTACTATGTTCCAGGCCCTGTACTAAATGCTGAGCATACAGATACAAAATTGAGACAGTCTTTGCTTTCAAAAAGCTTATATCCTAATTGGGAGACACAGCACCTATAAGGAAGTGATGACCAAGGAAGGGTATTTTGGTCTGAGAAGTCACTGGATTGAAGAGTAGTATAATAGGGCATTTGACTAGTGTAGTCTTCTTGGAAACAACAGTAAAGTTGATTTGACTACTGTTTCAGAGCAAGAAGTAAAAAGGGAGGTGAGGATGCATAATAAGACCAATGGCCGGCCAGAGGATGGCCTAAATAAAGCATGATAGGTCTGGGGCTAGATAAATTTATTAAATGAGGTAATATTTATAAAAACTGTTTGGCTCAGTGCCTGGCATTTATAAGTGCTTATTATATGTAATATAATAATTATACAAATGCTTATTATAAAGGAGTTATATAAATGCTTATTCCATTCTCTCCCCCTAGATATAGTAGGCTGTCCCCAATCAGGGTGAGATCCAGGGAAGGAGCTCAGTAAGTAGCTTAGTTCTCCCAGGGTATGATGTTTGGAGGTCCTTATAATCACCTTGCAATTGATCTCCATGCCTATTGTTTCTGACTTTACCAATCCAATCTTCACATAGTTACCAAAATTTTACAAATATATTATTATTGACCTTACCCTATTACTTCACTGCTTGAAAAACCTTAAATGGCTTCCCCATTGCCATAGGATAAAATATAAATTTTTTAACCAAGTAATCAAAGTTATAAGATCATGAGATCAATCTACCTTTCTAGCTTTATTTCATTCTGATCTTCTTCATACACTCATGTTTTAGACAAATTAGACAATTAGTCCTTTCCCTATCTCATGCTGCAGTCTTGTGGTCTTATATAGGCCATTCACCATGTTTGGAAAGCTCTTTGTTCTTATTTCCCTGATCATTAAAATTCTCTTCCTTCAAGGCTCAGCTCAGGTCCCACCTCCGCCATGAAGTTTCCTACTCACCCTGATGAAAGTGGTCCTCTCTCCTAAATTTCTTACAGAATTTTATCTAAATTCTTTCCCTTATAAGGGCTAACTTGTATCATACTCATGTCTGTCTCTCCTATTAGATTATAAGATCTTTGAGGCCAGAGACTGTCATTTTTCATTTAGCATCCCAAGTACCTACCATGGTGTCTTTCAGATCACGATTGCTTAATGAATGTTTGTAGAATTTGAATTAATCAGTTAATTTTAGATGATACATCTGAAAAAATAAACTGTTTCCTTTAACTTGGAAGATGACTCTTAATAAGTTTATTGCTAACCAGTTATTCTATACAGAATAACACTGTACCTGCTTTTTCTTGTCTGTGTCCGTTTAAGTGTCGGAGGATGTGAGAAAGTGAGCAGTTTTTATTTCGGATTAGGAAGAGGAGCTGAGCTGTAGCTAAACTCTGTAATTTATAGTTCTTTATAGGGGTCATTTCAGTTACTACAACAAACATTTCTGCCCTTTAAACAAAATTCATTGACATTCTTAAGCTTCCATTAAAACAAAACAACAAATAATTTTGATGTAGGATAGAGTTGATGTGTACGTGTTCTCTTACTTCTTTACTAATTAATTCAAAACATTTTAAATTATTCATTCATAACAGATATAGAGAGGGAATCAGCTGTTTCATTTTGCAATTTTGTAGATAACAAAATCCAATTATAGTAAAAAAAAAAAAAACTTATGCGTCACGTAGAGTTTATCATTGGCTATTACTTCTATTACAGTCCCAAGCAATTGGTATGAAGCAGTATTTATATTCTGTACTTTGACCGTCATTTGCCTCTCAGTATTTTTTTAAAATAACATTTAGAAGTACAAATAATCTGAAACAAAATAGGTATCATAGGGAGTTGTTGTTATTCAGTCATTCAGTCATGTCCGACTCTTTGTTACCCCTTGGGTTACAGCACGCCAGGCCCTTCTGTCCTCCACTATCTCCTGAAGTCTCTCCAAGCTCATATTGCTTCCATGACATTATCCATCTCATCCTCTGCCATTCTCTTCTCCTTTTTCCTTCGTCACAGGGAGTATGGGTTAGAAATTAGACCTCCTACTTTTGGGGATAACCTATATATTTATATATTAAAATCAGTCTCTTATAGATCTCTTAGAATTTGCCTTCCTATGAACTCTTGGTAATAATTGAAATTTGAAGTAATGTCACTAAACTTAAATTTTTTTTGTAGAAAGGGAATTTTGGGAATTATGTAATAAATGTAATTTGATGAGACCAAAGCGTTCCCATCACTGCAGCCGATGTGGTCACTGTGTTAGGAGAATGGATCATCATTGTCCATGGTAAGAGAAAATTAATTCATTTTTAATCACGCTAGATCTTGTTATATGTTGGTTCTCTCACTGATGTGTTAAATTTTCCTCATCATAGCTAGCCTGTAAAATAGGAAAAGTTCTGTGTTGATGACAGACATGCAATATCTGGACAGTGGAATGACCAATTCTACCTCCTTTTCTAGACTCCCCCCCCCCAAAAAATCCCCAAACAAACAAAAAAACAAACCAGTACCTTTTTCTGCCCCTTGAGATTTATTTTTATCATATTAAACTTTTATCAATATAAATATCTAGTTTGAAAATGACCATATGTACATCATGTATAGTTCTCCCTACTTGTAAAATTCTGTCATTTAGTGAGAATTGGAGGTGGGGTCGGGGATTGAATGAAGAACAATATTGATCTTTTTGGTCAATAGGGGGCTCTCTTGTAACAGCTAAACACTTCAAAGAAAAGCTTTTGAGCTACATTTTTTTTTTTGAAATTTTACAGGATTTCTACATTGTATCACTGTAACAAAATTTGCTAAATCTGTGAAAAACAAGGAATTGTATATAATTCTGTTTTCTTTGTATTGCTTTGCATAAACATTTATACTTGGTATAAATAGGTATATGTAAGTTTGTATATATTAGTGTGTATACATATACTCTCACAAATTTATATGAATGCAATGAAGTGTACAAAGAAAAAGACAAGGGCCACAAAATGTATGTGGTATTAACAGTTATTCAGAAATTGAATCAAAGCTGATCTTTGCCTTTTACTTAACAATAGAAATCAAAATAAATTTATTTTGGTAACTTGCCTGAAAATTGACTGGACAGTGTCTATAAAGTTAAGACTTATTTAAAGTAAATTTACTGAAATTAGGAAAAATATTAAAAAGCTCTGGTAAAAATACATTATTATAGTACAAAATCAAAATTTTGATCTATGACAGATGTCAATGGTACTTTTTTCCCCCAATGTAATAAATTGAGTTAAGACAAAATAGTCATCATCATTATCCTCTGAGAAATCTAATTTAAGTGCAGTTTCAAATCATATGCACAAAAAGTTAACTCTAATTGCTTCACACATTTGAGTCTAGTTCCTGTTCAAAGAAATGTTTCTGATTATTGAATATGAAAATGTAGAAAATGTGCCAGCTTTAATTTAATTCTTTCTTTAAAAAGAAAACAAAATTTAAATCTCATGGAGAATAAAAGCACAACAAAACCACCCATTTGTAAACTTTCTGAACGCTAGAAAACAATGTTATTTTTTAAAACAATAAAAAATAACTAATTGTGAGTGACAAAGTGTCTTCATTTCACTAGTTACAGAGGTGTAGAACTTATTCTATATTTGTAATCCGCTTCTTGAGAGAGAGAGGGAGAGTAAATAGGTTAAGGATATTTTATTTAGCCCTTTTTGTTGAGAGCTATTAAGACATTCAATATATAAGGCTGTAAGGCTATTCAATATATAGGTTTATTGGCTGACACAATTGGGTGGGGGCATGGGAGAAGAAAAGATGATAGGGAAGGTGAAGTGAGTTAGAGAATAAAGTTAGAACCATTTGGGGAAATCTTCCCTGGGCTCTTTCATTTCATCTAGCAACCTTAAGATTAAAAGACCAAAACTCAGGTGGCTCTTTGATTTTCCTAGGTGTTCATTGTTTGTGTCAGATGTTTCTTTATAATAAATCAACATTTATTAAACACTTACTATGTGCTAGGCTCTGTGCTAAGTGCTGTGGTTACCAAGAAAGGCAAAAAATATTCTCTGTTCTTAAGGAGTTCATAGTCTAATGGGGGAGACCACATGCAAACAACTATGTGCAAAGAATATATTTTATTTATGTACACTTATTATACATATATGAATATATGTATGTGTATAAGGCACCCAACATATGTCATCGACAGTTTATCATGTGTGCACGTGCCATGTAACACCCATGCATACATGTATGTATGCGTATATGTTTATATGCGCACATGACTAATTGCACATAATTAACAGAGGGAAGGCACTAGCATTAAGGGTAATTGGAAAGACTTCTTGTAGAAGGTGGGATTTTAGTTGTGACTTAAAGAAAGCCAAGAAAGTCAGGAGGTAGAGATGAGGAAGGAGGGAATTTATAACTTTATAAGTAGATTTCCTGGTCTACAGAAATCTAAAAATAAATGCTACAAACATTGCCACATGACTGTTTGAAAGGGGAGGTAGGGATGAAAATAGAAATATTTAAAGGATCAGGATTTTAAAGTGTTTTGTAGAGTTAAAGATTGTATATGTACAAACTTTTCTGTAACCTAACACTAAATTATTTAATAAAATTTAAACTTATTTTATTGTTGTGATAATTATCACAAATATCTCTATTTTTGCTAGATTATTTAGATTAGAAAATGAAATTGTAGAAAACTATTTCCTTCTCAGAAAGAACAATCAAAAAACGATAATTCATCAGGAATGTGATTCTTCAGTATTAGCTTCTATTGTATCATTTTTTCCCCAGAGGGTAGCAAAGTAATATTATTTTGATATGATGAAATAACTTAGAATTCTTTATCATATTGGCCTCAGGGTCTTTGTTGAACAATTACATTAAATTGAGCTATTTTGCAGTTAAACTGCTACTTGATAGTGAAGAAATTAACTAAATTTTTAAAAATTGAAAATGTTTAGGATAAAAAATATTTTATTTAATTTTGTTCTAAACATAAAAATCTTTTCTTCTTTTAAAGTGCATTTTGGAAATATTTGGGATTAGTTTATTCATGTTAGCAGATAAGTTCTAGAAATATTTCTAACAAAGATCAGGAAAGATGTAGTGAAGATATGATATAATTCTTCCTATTTTTTACAACTAAGGGTGTTATTATTTTTGTAAGGAAAATGAGTCAGAGTAAATCACTTCTGTTAGACTGATGAGATATCAGGCTTATAATTACAGGGGAAGTTATAGTATATATTATGTCTAATTGGCCTTGAGTTTTATAGTAGTTAATATGTATAATTGGACTTGAGCTTTATAATAGTCAATATGTTTGATGCCATGTCTTTGAAAAATTTTCCAGGATTGTATTTACACGTGTAATAATGAAATAGGCAACTTTCCTTTTTAACTTTTTATATATACTATTTGGTAAACAGATATATTTTAAAATAAAATTCCAAAGTGATACTATTCATTAAAAAGTTAATGTGATACAGTGAAATCTCTACTGTCTCTCATTCCCTCTCACCCTATAAACTATGGGCAGAAAAATTTGTTGGTAAGATAATCTTAATTTTTAAAAATAAGTAAACGATGGGAAAAAAAGACTTACCAAAATAAGAAAAGTTATGTCCAGGTTTGACAATGTGCTTTCTAATTTATGGCACTTTGATTCCTAAGAAATAAAACTGTCAGACATCAGCTCTGGAAAAGTTCTTTTTTTCTGGATTAAAATTGCCCTCTTTGATTATAATGTAGAAACGTGTATTATCATAGAGAAAACCAATGAAGCAGGAGTCAAAGGAACTAGATCATAATCCTGGTAATGTCACTCACTCATCGCACTGTGTGACCTCATCTTCGGTTTCCTTGTCTGCAAAATGGGAATGAGACTTGCCATGTTGACCTCATTGCATCCTTGTGAAATAATGTATGTGAAAACATTTCACACACACCATTATTTTTTGAGTATAAAGCATATAAAGTACTGAATGCTCTACAATTATGTTATTTTGTATTGTAATTTCTTATATTTTCTACTTCCTGTTTGTATTGAGTGGTTCTAGCAATCACATGTCTCGTTGGAATAAAAGTAAAATTAGAGCTTTTTTTTCCTTCAGATCCTGCTTCTGAACATTTCAAAATTGGCCTACTTCCAATTTTAAAATTTAGTCTTTTCATTTTTTTGTTTTTTTTCCTCTGCAGGATTAATAATTGTGTTGGTGAAGATAATCATTGGCTTTTTCTGCAACTATGTTTCTACACAGAGGTTCTTACTTGCTACGCATTGATGTTTTCTTTCTGCCACTATTACTACTTTCTACCATTAAAAAAGCGTAACTTGGTAAGAAATTTTGTATCAGATATCAAGAGGGCAAGTGCATCTTACAGCTATTAGACCGTGTTTTTTAGACATCTGAGGATTTTAAAAAAATCTTTAAATGGTATTTGGGTTGGGATGGCAAAGGATATTACCCATAAGTAATTTACATTCCAATAGTGTTGAGACTATCTGCACTCTTTGTGATGTAGTCAGACATTGTTATTGCATATATTATGGAAACATTGAATTTGGTAGAAAACAATACGAGGAATACAATAAGGAAAACTAGGAAGTGCAGTTAAATATTAGCTCACTTGCTTTTTGTAATGCATGACTTTTTTATGAAATGGAAAGATGACATGGCATAGTGAATTGAGAACTGGTATATCCCAGAGTATCTGAGTTCAGGTTCCATCTCTGACATATACTGACTGTGTGATACTTGAAAAGGCAATTAACCTCTCCATGCTCTAGGCAACTCTTTAAGATTTTAAGTTTGCAGAGACTCTCACTTTAATCCCCACCCCCCCCCATTTTATTCCCTCCCCTTTGTTGCCTTCTCTATTCTCTAGCAAGTTCTCTTTTTGCTGAGAAGCTATGGGAATCAACATCTCTATGCCATTCACCCATGGATTTGGTAAGGGCATATCACCTGTTCCTCTTTGACATACACCGTGACTCCCTATTTATGTTCTACATAAATTTTTTGTCCCAAAAACTACATTGATTCCCCTATAGGGGGATTGAGGGGTTTAGTTTATGGTGTTTCATTTCTGTTCCTTCACCTTCTCTTCTCCTATTTCCTTTTTCTGTTTACATTTTTATCTCCTTGTGTCCTTATTAAAAAAAAAAAACTCTTGGTCCTTTTCTTTTACTCTATATATTCATTTCTTCTTTTTTTTCTTTTTTCCTTTTTATCTTTTTTCTAAGGTAATCTTCAAACACTGGGGTAATTTATTCCTTATTCTTTCAGTAGGAATTTTAGTATTCCAAATCTATTCACTTCCCCACCTTCTTTGGAGAAAGTCTCCAATTTTTTGTTTTAATTTTTAATGTTTCAATTTTTTTCTAATTTGCTAATTGAGTTTTACTTTTGCATTGAGAGCTATAAATTTTGACATATTCTGTTCATTCCTTATGTCTCTTATTTATTTTGTTTCTCTTTTGAACCATTTTGGAATTAAAAAAATTATTCTATAATCTCGGAATTTCACAGGATTCTATGTTTTATCAGTCATTAATTGGTTGTCTTTTGTCTAGTATTATTTGTTGAGAACTGTAATTTCTTGGCAGATTTAGTACTACTCAATTCCTTCTGCTTTCTTCCTCTTGATATCTGTCTTGTTTGAGCATTTTTTCCATATTTTACTCTGCTTCTTGCTTTCTGATTCTACCTTCTTTGTCGGTGGATACATACTCCCAAGGCTGAGGTATAAAATACTTCAACTTCTTTCCATTTTAGGTTGTTTAGTGTTCACCACTAGGTCTTTGCTTTGAGGAGTCTGTGATGGCATAAGACAAGTTCAGCTGTGTTTCAGTCTTCTTTTCAGGTTCACTGGAGTATGCTGTTCCTCTGTGACATTTCCTTCTTTGTTCTTTTTGGCCTGATATTAATGAGTGACTTCCACTTTTTGAAAGAAGGGGGTGTCCCAGCTATAGCCTTTGTAGTCTTGGGTTCCCCAGTCTAGGGGCAGCGTCTGGCAGGAGGCAACACAATTTCCTGTTGTCCTTCCTTTGTCGGCTGGCTAATTGGTGTCCCCTGATTATTGCTGGCTGGTAGGTGAGGTTGGATAGTTGGGGGTAAGGTATGACATCAGAGTCTCTGCAAAGAGAGGTCCCAGTATAGACTCCATATATGAGTTCATGGATCAGTTTGTGGTCCCTGCTAGAAGTGCAAAGGCTAGTAGGTTAGGAGTTCTGAGTGAATGCTTTAAAGATTAGTGCTCTCTAGTATTAATTCATGAGGATTTTATCTGGTTGTGATTCTCTCTTTTTTGTCCTGTGTATTCAGCTGCAATTGCTATATACCTGGGGTGGATTTAGTGTTTTGGATTTCAAAATTTAAAAGTTGATGGAGTCTGGGGAAAGTGGCTAGTCTGCCATCTTGTTGGTCCTAAGACCTTTGTATATATTTATTTATCTACATGATAAGTCACCTGATGTATGTAAATTACTCAAGAACAGTGACTAATTTTTTTGTCTTTGTATCCTCAATACACTTAGAAGAATGCCAGACAAATAGTAGATACTTAATAAATGCATATTGCTTGATTGATAACAGTGATAAAGTTGATTATGTAAGTATTTGGAGAAGTCTAAACAGAAAGGTATAGGAGATTAGGAGAAATTATTTCTAGGTGGATGGGAATAGAGGGAAGGCTTCACAAAAACGATGGACCTGTGTTGGGCCTTGAAAGATAGGGAGGATTTTAACAATTATATTGGGCGATATTCCAGGTATAGATATAGAGTAAATAGAGGCACTAAAGTAGGAAAATTTAACAAGAGGACATAGGTGAATGATGCATGGTCTACTTTAGATGGAATATAAAGTATGTAAAGGCAAGTGAGAAGTTAGAATGGTAGATCAGGACAAGATTATTGAATACCTTAAAAACTAGATTAAGTAGCCAGGTGCTTATTTGGTGAGTAAAAGGGAACCATAGGAAGATTTACAACAGGGGGTGATATTCTTCCTGTACTTTAAGAAAATTGTTCTTAGCCTTGTATATAGAATCTTCTGTTCTCTAGGGAGGATGCAAGTAGAGACGCAGGAAGAAAATTACTTAAGCTTAAGGGAGAGGTGATAAGGGCCTGGATGAGGATGGCTGCAATGGGAAAGGAGAGGAGAAGAGAGGATGGTATTGCAGAGTTAGACTCAGTGTCACTTGTTAAATGATTAACATGGAGGATAAATTAGAGAGAAGAGGCAAAGACGATACCTAGGTTCAGCTTAGGGGAAGTTTTGGAGAGAAAAATATTTTGGGGGAAAAGATGAGAATATAAGCTCCTTATGAGTAAGGTTTGTTTCCTTCATTGTATTTGTATCCACAACACCTCTGCAGAGTGCCTGGCATATAGTAGGCACTTAATAAATATTTGTAAGTTGATTGAGTTCGGTTTGGGCACATTTAATTTAATATGATTGATTACAGGACATCCCAGTGAAGAGAAGTTACACAGTTTGTTGTTGGAAATAGCTCAAGATTGGAGATAACAGGTTTACCAGTCACTTGCATACTTCCCTACTGGATAACATCTTTGCCCTTGGTTTCCATGACAGTATGCTGTAATGAATTTCATTCTATGTTTGAGCCTTTTTTCTTTTTCATTATCCTGCCCTCTAAATGTTGGCTTTCCACTAGGCTCTATCCTTAACTTTTTTTTTAGCTATACTCTCTTTTCCTTGGTGCATGCAAATCATTCAGTAACCGTTTATTAAGTACCTACTATGTGCTAGGCACTGTGCTAAGTTATTTACAAATGTTATTCTATTTTATCCTGAAGTAGGTGCTAGTATTATCCCCATTTTACAGTTGAGGAAACTGAAGCAAAGAGAGGTTAAATGACTAGCTCAAATGACATTTAGTAAGCATCTGAAGTCCTGACTCTAGGCCCACCACTCTGTCCACTATGCCACCTAGCTGCCTTTAAGACAGTTTCTTGAAGGAGATTAGAGGGAGTGGAATCAAAATTATTATCTAATTCAATTTGTATTTATTGAATACCTATTAAAGTACCCTAGAACTTTGTTCAATCTGAAGTAAATTCTTTTTACAATTAGTTTATCTAAGAAGTATATTTAAAGGGGTTTCTTTATTGGAGTAGTAGAGATCCTATTATAAGACAGTGGCACCTATGTTACCCAATAAATGAAACCTCCAGAAACAATCTTATAACAAACATTTTTTTCTTTCTATTATCCAATTCTATTAGTGCAGTTATTTGGGGTTTTGTTTTGTTTTTGAGTAACTTCATTCTGAACAGTAGGTTTTTCTTCATTTCACTTTGAGCAGATGTGCAAGGCAAATACACATAAATTGAAACTTGCATAGAGTATCCTAGATTGAAGACTTAAATATGTATCAGAATGGTCTTAGGCTATATTATCATTCTTATTTAGTATAGCTCATAGAAAATAGTATTAAATACTATATTTTTCTGTTTTAAATTTATTCTTACAAATTTGTCCTCTGTTGTTTTGAAAGCACTGGAAAATTCTTCTCTCCATAACCTAAAAGATATTATCTAATATCATTTCAGTTCATTCACAGACCATATAGTTTTCAAATTACGAAAAGTGGATTTCTAAAGTTAGGAAAAGTGGATTTCTCAGTGACTTGTTGAATGATCTTGGGCAAGTCAAAATATCTCTATGCTTCAGATTCAATATGAGTATAATTATATTAACCTCCTTCTTTTCCTCAAATGGATGTTGTGAGAATTAAGAAGATAATGGGACAGTTCCTGTTTGACAAGCAGGTGATTCTTTGGGAGTAACTTAGATACTTCTGAGTATGCATGATTCTTTCAATTCACTAGAACTATCTGTAAATTTACTACTTACAAGTACCTGAATTATAACTAACTTAATGTGGTAAATTATTTTTATTTTCTTTTGTATTTTTATATATTACATGAACAGTAAAAGGATCTGTGATTTTTGCCATAGAATTCAGTTAACTCTACTTTTCATTGAAGGTCATATTGTGATTAAAGACCAACCACTTAAAAGGTGGTGGCCTCAAAAACCCTGTTTGTATTGTCATACTGTCTGCTTAACAGATATAATTGGTGGCTCCTGAAAAGAATTAAATTCCTTATTTGACGAAGAAAACCACATTTGACCATTTTTCTAAATGGTTGTTCTTAATATCTTATATTTAAATAACTGAGGTTAATTGATCATAGGATCAGAGATTTAGAGCTGGAAGGAACCTTGGATACCATTATTATAGAGAAATTTTGTTTTTGTTTCAGTATGGTTTTGTTTTTGTTTTTTGCCTTGGCATGTATTAGAA